CAGATATTTTTTTGAAAATAAATTTTAAAATTTTTATTATATACATATGTATAATATATTTTCTATTTTAGTGGTTTCAATTGTAGTTTATATATCCATCTAATAATGATAATAGAGGGAATCACAAATTGCTTTGCATTTTCAGGAGTGAAATTAGCAGATGGCAAAGGGCTTGGAGGAGCAGGGCGGCTTACAATTGCACGGATTGACACAATTCAAAGCTTTTACGGGCTCTGCATACGCCAGAATAAAGGTGATGCAAAGGCAATGTCAAATGCAACCAAAGCAATATTGTTGCACTATTCAAGCACTGAAGAAAAACCTCAACATGACTGTTGCCCTGTTGGCCCGAAATCATGGTGTAGTTATCAGAGAGATTTGGCTTGCAAGACAAAAACTCACCGATGCATCAAGGATCCTATCCCTCCAGCTGTTGTTGAAGTTATAAAGCCAGTTTTTGATAAGCTAGGTGATGAAAAGTTCCTTGGTGGATGTGAGAGATGTGCAACACAGAATGCCAATGAAAGCTTGCATCATGTAATTTGGGGATTTGCACCAAAGGATCAGCATACCTCACAAGTTGAAAGTAGCCTAAGTGTCAACCTTGGAGTTTTAATTTTCAACTGTGGGATGGAGGTTACCTATTCCCAGCTTCTACCTAAAACTGGTGTCACGGTAACCAACCACATGAAAGAGGCATGGAGTAAAATTGATAGGAAAAAAATGTATGGTGGGAAGTACAAGGAAAGGAGTGAGGTGAAAGAAAGAAGGAAACGATATAAGAGAATAAAATCAAAGAAAGCTGATGCTTTTCTCCACAAAGAAGGGTTACAGTACAAGTCTCAGGCATTCTATACCTCCAATAAAGACAAACCAGCTGGAAACCACAAAGTAACAGGTAAAGCAAAAGGAAATAGAAAAGGAAAGAGCAAGAAGACTAACAAAGGAAAGTAATAGCTGTTTTGTAAATGATCATGCCACTTTAGTAGACAACAGTCATCTCAATTAGGGAAAAATCATGGTCAATCCCTAATAGTATTGTTGGGAATCTACTCCTACTAAGATACTGCTGTTCAACAGATGGAGCATATTAATCATTTACAGTACAGTCTAGTTTTCAGCCTAAGCCCATGTTACATAACAAAATGTTGAATATACATTTATGTTTAATAAGGGGTCTACTTGTATTTATGTTATGCACTTGTCATTGGAACCGCCCCCCAGGGAAAACATGAGGCATTGGACCCTTTGAGAGAAAAAAGTGGAAAATGTCCCACCCCATTGCCAAGTTTCAAGCCGAGGGTGACTGGGTACGAGTCCCTAAATATTATGATTATCGACATCAAACCCACATAATCAGAAAGAGCACAATCAACCTATACAAAATCCCGAAGTTTGGTATTAATCGAGTAAAAACTGATCAAGATACAGGGGAAATGGGGGGAAGCTTGACAAGTAAATCACCACCCATCCCTCATATATGCTCCATGTTTCCATGGGTGGAGGTGTCTTATGACAAGTACATTCCAACAGTCACAGAATTGTTCTTAGTAGGCATATATATATATATACATATATATATACAGTCACAACTTTGGAAGTTTCAAGGTTTCACAAAAGTCATCCATCTGAACAGTGTATGCATCCTATATAAAGAATACAAATCAAAATATAAAGAAGGGGTACAATGTATAAAGATATTTTTATTATATATCTATTAATGAAGTCAATTCTACTGTCAAAGTTGTATATACAATATCAATAATTATGAATTGCAAACACTATGTTCTTTTGTAAAAAAACATTAATTTTGAAAAGTGTAAACATATTCATGTCATTCATATTTTCAGACCAAGTCTCCATGTATAAATGTTAATATAAAAATTGGGAAAGAGATAGGTATAAGCATTTTATAATATTTTGTGTAAAAGATATGGTTGATGGCCCATGCATGCATAAATATTGGCAACTTTTCCAACCCAAACTGGAAACAAAAGTCAGAAAAACTCACTTCTCTTATCTCTCCCTTGATATCACCTGGTGCGATGTATCTCAGGAATTGTAGGACTTCTCTTGGAAAAGCATATTCGCTATTATCAGGACCAACTCCATTTTTCTAGAATCAAGCAAAAATTTTGTTGCGTGAAGACCATGCACGCTTGGTAACTAAAGATTCAACTATGAAATCTTCTTTAATACTTACGATCAGTGCGTGTGCCCATCCACAATAGAAGAAATATCGTACCATTCTGGGAGGTTTACCCCGCTTCTTGAGTCGATCTTCGACGCCAATTTCAAGTTGACTGATGAAATGTGTTCCGTCATAACTAGTAAAAAATATGTTGCTGTATTAAATGCTGTGTATGTAAACGAACTCGGAACTGCTAAAAATATTATGTTCAAATCGAACAAGAAAAGAACAAAGCGAAACAACATACCCTTCATCTCTCATCGTTGAGAGCAATATTTGTTTGTAGTCCACATCACGATCTGCTTCAGTAAAACTATCTACTTTTGAAGGGCATTTCTTCCTTGTCTTTCGTCGCTTTTTCGTCGCGGGTTTATCTTTATTTATGGACACAGGCTCAGCCTTGCGTTTTCGCTTTGGAAGCATGACTAGTAGTTTTATAGTGACTTCTGTGACTTGCTTGACAAAAGTTTTACAGTATAATTTATACGGAAGTTTACATAAAATACATCGCTTGCCATAATTTATACGGAACATCACTTGCCACACGCGTTGTAATTGGTTAACAACAATTGAATTAATTAGTGGGGAAAAATAGACAGAACTTCAAAAAACCCCGCGAAATGTTTAAAGTCAATTATCAGATACATTAATTTTGAGTCGTAAACACGCACTAAAAAAGCTTGGTTAGTCGTGCGTTTTAACCGATCGTTCTGAAATTTGCACACACTGTAGGTGTATGTCTTGGCTACAAAAGGGTGTTCGCGCGAGTTTTACAAGCCTTTAGTTGCAAAATTACAGACCTTTTTCGTGCATTCGTTGCAATATAACACAGGTCGGGAAAGAACATGTCTTAGCTATGTAACCCCTGAAGCAACGATAAAATGCGAACACCCTTTTTTAGTGCAATACTCGAGAAGAGTAAAAATGATAGATTGACAGGATTTTAGTGAAACCTACATCTAACGTAGCTCGCCGCGCGAAGGTCCCATAAACTTAAACTTGTAACAATATTCGGGAAAGTTATTTCTTTCTGATATATTTTATAACCCTATGTTTTTTTTCATCTATCGGACTATATTTGGAGAAAATTTGAGAGAAATTGGATAAAAATTCGCCGAGTAATGGTAAATCTCCCGAAACCTGCGCGTAGGGTCTCCTGTAACCTTAACTCTCAAATAGTTCATTACACATTTATTGGTTAGGGTTAGAGAAGGGGTTGGGCTCTGTTTATCCATACCTTATCTTAAATATTCCGACTACAGTACAAATTTCAATATTATTAGCAAATCAAACTCGGCGTACTATTCCAGTACTTCGTATTAAGATACAACTAAATGAACTAATTATTAAAAAGTAAACTGACCTTTAAACTGAAGAACTTGATTGGCTTGTACACATTGGTTTCTTTGTGATATAGTTCAATTGCTGTTGCTTGTAAATGTTTTATAAACCAGTACAGCGAAGTAGCGAAATTTCGGGCCGTCTTTCACAACAAATAACATCACAATAACTGCACATCTTTTTCTCTTTAATACAGAATCGTTTTCCCTGTCCATTGAGTTATAATTTTCAAGACTAAAGAGTCGCTAAAACGTAAAATAAGCGGGTATTTGTAAACAAAAATGCCCTTTGATATAACACGAGGTAACCAGCGCCATCTTGTCTTCTCCAAACATTACAGATTTTCCCGCCAAAACCCGCCCCCAAAGTCCCGTATGTAACTGACGTCACAAGTGTCATGGACGGGGGGGACTACCATATTTGGCGGTAAAATATTTCAAAAATACACACTAAATCTAATTTTAATCTCTTTACCTTCGCTATTTTTGCTTTCCACGTATTGTTTGACCCAACCACGATTGTAACACAACAATGTTTGCTCGCTAAACATTTTAAAATCAACAAAAATACAGTATTAATGAAGTACCATTTAATTTCATAATTGATAGACCATGCTCTTCGGGCGAACATCGCGAAAATCCGAAGCTGTTTGAGCCACTGAACCTTACTTCTGGTTTATATAAGCCCATGTTACGAGTCACGAAATATATTATAATAATTAATTTAACTATGCAAGCATAAATTAACTATACCCAAATATAGTAGCATATAGATCTGTTTCTATGGTTCTATGCTTGTATGATTCTATGATTCCTCTCTCCTCCGCAGAGGCTTTAATTGGCTATGAAGGTGCGAAGCCTCTGCGCGATGCCACACCCAATATGGCGGTAAACCGGGGGGGTAACCTAACTTGTTTTGGCTCGAACAACATGGCCGCTGAAATTTTCAAAAAAATTATGCCAACAAAACTAGCTTCTTTTCGGCACGTACATAGAATACGCTTACTACTAGAAGTTACTATCGCAAGGAAAGTGCTGCCTCACCCCCAAGGGATCGAAGGCTGCATGTGCAATTTGCTGAATAGGGGCTGTTTTATATATGATCCCGCTTTGCCATAGAGATGTGAGGCGGGGTTATTTTGATGTATTGAAACAAGTCACAGTGCACAATTCAGCAAAAGAACTTCATTATTTTCTGGAGATAGATTTAGTTAACTGTACTGTAAATGAAATGTAATAACAATCTTCTGGAACTACAAGATCTTTTCTACAATATTTGAATTCTCTTAACCAGCATTTTAACTTTTGTTTAGCCTACCAACTTATTTCAATACATCAAAATCATGACATCCCATCTTCCATCATGTAAACAGACCTAATCTATTCCCTAAGACACCTGTTCAGTAGGTAGGAAAAGTGCAATTTGAATATCAAACACCTTGTACAAGGTCAAAGGTCAGCTAAATATTCAATGCTTATAACTTCTTGCTTTTGTATGTATAATTATAATACTGTCAGTGGTGAATCTAGCCATTGCAACCATAAGCGTATGGGCCGGGGGGCACAGATCCCCCAAAATTTTCACGGTCAGGCAGAAATCCATGCATCATTCAGGCAAAACATAAAAATTTCACAAAATAATGTTATGCAAACAAAAAATTATGTTACTGTATGTCCGGAAAAATCTGTGCATTTGGTGACCTAACCCCCCCCCCCCAAACAATTTTTGGGTGAAATATCTATTAGCGACAGTCGGGCAAAGTAATAGTGTGCCCCCCAAACAAGATTAGGCCCGTACTCACATGATTGCAACAGGTCATGCTATGCAAGTTTCTAATAATTTGCATCAATTGGTCAAATAGATGCAGGTTTATTGGCGTGGCATGACCAGTTGCCATGGCTAGCTTGCCACTGAATATTAGACAAAATCATATTATATATAAACGATAATAATACTTGAATGAATCATTGGACATGTAGAGTTTAATAGCAATTTCATATATATAGATTGAATATTAAGTCAGTTTCTGTCCCAGTTATCATTTTAATGGCTGCACCTTCAGGGCTACCCCTGTTACAAAACCACTGTCACTGAACAATCTACTGACACCTGATGGGAGACAAAATCTATTTGTTGAAAGTTTTGTTTCATATGTGATACATCAGCTTCTGCATGGCGACACCATTCATTTGTAATGATTAAGATTGTACTCAGTCAGAACTGCAGAACTAGATAATACAAGAAATTGTGAGCATTAATTATCAAAAAATATAGTATATCCTGAACTGTAGTAACACAGCCAGGTGAATATATAAAAATGTAGGTCGGTAGAATTATTTCATATTATGCTATTAACAATGGACATATCTCAGAGATATACAGAACTATTACAGACCATTATATTTATACCTTTTTCAAAAATCGGTCGACATGTTATGACATGTAACCTCGCATGTAACTGGGTTAACATTTCCACACTAGGTGCTAATAATAATATAGGAAATAACTTCGTACAAGTGACTAAGTGA